CTGGGGATGGGTAGGTTCTGTATAAACGTAGATAGAAGAAGGGGAACAAAATAAGACACGGAAAAACACCAGCTTGAATGGTATTAGAAGTCGAGTGTGCCTCATTCAGCGAAGTAAACTAGGTCCTACAGGAGAGAAGCAGTGGAGTGGTAAATTCAAGACTCCGGGTGTCAGACCAAACTCAGAGATAAGTTCAATGAGCACTCTTCGGTCGAGAAAATCAAGGGCGGTTGCATAATCAAGAAAAGTTAAACGAACGCTATCTGCACCTTTTTTCAAAAACGGGACTAATAGAATAAACAATATGGTCAACGGCATCCAGTGTGAACAGATGGAGGTTTTATAGGAAAATTGTAAAGGATCATGGGAGTTACAACCGGGTTTGATACAGTACAGCAAAACATTTTCAAAAGGTTTCAGTAACCCAGATGTGCAGGCAATCGGACGTTACTTTAATAATCCTTTCCTTGGGATTGATCTGATCCAGACTGACCTCAAGCAATCGGGGATCCTTCCCCAATGACATACAAGTACTGAACAATTCAAAAATAGTTGTTTGGTAGCTCAGCTGGTAGAGCATGCGCGTACAAAGCGTAGGCGGTGTCCATGCGTGGGTTCGCGGAGCTCAGCTGGTAGAGCATGCGCGTACAAAGCGTAGGCGGTGTCCATGCGTGGGTTCGAAGCTTAGCTGGTAGAGCATGCGCGTACAAAGCGTAGGCGGTGTCCATGCGTGGGTTCGAATCGCACGGCTACTGAACTTTTCACAATCCACATAGAAACTTCAAATGTGACAAACAACTATTCGAACATATACCGATAGTTTCACAATCGACGTAGAAACTTCAAATCTGCCAAACAACTATTTGAACAATACTGAACATACAATTCAAAAGGAGGTTTTAAAAGCTGGTTGACGTATGCTTTCAACAAATGAAGTGCTAATCGATCGGGGCCATGAGCTTCGTTGGTCTTGAATCCCTTCAATAAGTGGAGGATCTCATCCGGAAAAATAGAGTTTATTTCCTCATCGGTTGGAAAAGGAGACGAGAGGAAGATTGAGATAGGCACAGAAGCGAATCGATGGTTAAGTACCTCAACGTTTGGACACGAACTGATACGTGAGCCACAAAGTTTCGACAGGATAGTCCACATCTCAAGAAAGCTTATACATATGTATATAATAAATGGTTCAATCACAGGTCTGCATTCTGCACTGCTATATTTACCAGTAGCGAAACCGTCTTCACAAGGCCCTGGAGTAATATGGATTATTTGGGCGAGGTAGTAACTTTACCGTCTGTTGGGTGAATATAATCGAGCTTTTTCTTAACCGGATGCTTTTGGGAAACCAGAAAGGAAGCCATATAAGCAGCTACTGAACGGGTAAGTGATCTTCATGAGACAGTTCGTGCAAGCTGAGTGAGTCTGTCAGTAGGCGCTTCTCCTATGATTATTTCACAATTTAACTCCATAAGCGACGAGAATCGATTTGGTGTCAACTTGTATCACGTCATCGTTCACGCTACCCGGATAGCACCTACATACTTATCCGGCTCATTTTCAACCGATCAATAATCGTTATTATTCAGAATAAATCAAACAAGTGTAGAGAGAGAGAGACCATGCTTGCACATCGGAGATGGTTTGCACAACTGATAATGCCCTGATGAACATATTTTTACAGGTCATTGACCCTTGTGTGTACACAATGTGTTGTGATTAGCAAGATTTTTACGAAAACTAGTGTTTTTCAGGTGCTATTGAAACCAATGTGACAACAGACACACGAAATGACCTACTGTGGTGCTTAGTGCCCGCGGTCACGATTCTTGCACCAATAACCTTAAGAATCGTTGTGTGTCTATTACTCAGTGGAACACATCTCATTAAAAAATGTATGAGTGCAAAAGCTGTTTTCAATCTCACAAGAGTTAGGCTTCACCTCGGATTGATGAACGTGTTTCATTGACGAATTCAAGCAATTTTTCAACACAAAAGTTAAATTACGTACCGTTTGTCTCAGCCAGACTTGATCCTGTATGCATTTTGTTTTAAATATGCAGATTCTCCGGTTTTCATTACTCTTTTGGTAATTTATTCAGTCTTGGATTTAAAATGTAAAATGTTCCGTAGCTTCGATGGGAACCCACGCATAGACATTACCTGCGCTTGCCTGAGTTCGAATCCCACCGAGGCTACTGAAGTTTTCACAATTTCAGTATAAGCCTTCAATCTGCCAAATAACAATTTGAACAATTTCTTGAGTATCTGAAGCAAGCTTTTCCAGTGATAAATTTGAAAATAAAAGCAAGTATAGCAAGATTGAACGCTTCATATCCATCAGTGGTTACGATCAATTGTTAACCTGACCTACTTACGCAGCCAAACCCCGAATTGTGCACAGAACACAGGAGTATACCGTCCTCCCGGTTAAAATCCCTCACCTGTGTACACCAACTCAAACGTAATGTATCCATTCCAGTGTGGGTGCAATGACCCTTGCATAAGTAGAACAGAAAGACAACTATGTAATCGGATTTTAGAACACGATCCAAACTGGTTTCAGCGCAAGGCTGCCATGTCGAAGTCCATAGAGCGGGTAACCAATAGGTACCGTGCTTACAAAACACGAATCTTGTCGATCGCCAAGCCCTTGTTGATGATGCAGCGAGAAAACACTTCGAGTGACTTTTAATTTATGATAACACCAGACTGTTCAAGATCGCCGTGGCGATTTTAATCAAGCAATGAGAACAAATTCTGTGTCAACAAAATAACCTGTTCATCTGGGCTTTACCTTGGTGACCATTCCTCCATTTATATCTGCTTATTTTATAATCCATTCCCAAACCCTATATAAATATTGCATTAGTCTACAGTAGGCATCAGTTGAGATGCAGGCAAATCGTCCGAGATATACGCCGTGCAGTAATTCTATACTGGCTCTTCTTTTTCAATTTTCTGAGTATGGGGTATCTAACATTACGAGCACTGATGCTGGTGTTGTGAGGTGCTACTTACACTTGTGAGTAGTTTGCACACACACCATGAAGCGGTTGTTGGATTCCAAGGGCATCTGGGAGTGAATTAAAGGACTTAGTATTGGGAATACAAAATAAAGAAAGAGATTGTCAGTCTGACGATTATCGATGAAGAGATGATCACAAAATTGCGAACCAATTGCTGCTAATTAGATGTATCGTTATATGTAATCTTATTTACCTCATCCGGTACTGTTATCTTAATAAGTAACTCTCCCCATCTCGGCCCTGTCTTGTGGATTTATAACACTGTGCCTAAAAATGGCGCGCTTGATTTCCTTTGACCTTTCGGGGAGGGATAACTATCGCACAAACACCGCAACCAATTTGACTAGAGAAGGTAAAACGAATGTGCATGTATGAGGCCTTTCTAAATTCAAATGGGAGATTGAATGTCTACCAGTTGTGTGATAGAAGCAATTCCATTACCAGGTGACATAGTGTTAACATACGTTCAGAGGTGAATATTTGTTTTAACTAAATAATCTACTAGGCTGTAAAGATCATATAGGGAAGTGACATGTTGATGGGGTAGACTTGCAAATGACAAAATGTCACAGTGCTTGGTCGGGGAAAGAAGATAGGGGAGAGGAGTGCAACGTCCCGCATATCTGCAATCAGATTGTAATGCGTCGTATGTGCGATTAATCAGAGGCCATGGTAGTTTGATGTTAAAGGCTCATCTCTCTTTAGTATATAATATAAAGAGACAAATATCGATCGTTTTCACAATGGCTAAGATGAAGGTGCGAAATTATTTAGATGGAGGAGGTAGTACTCAGTAGATAATTCTCAAGGTTGATTCAAGCTTTACTTGGTGACCAAAGTCCGTTGGACGAAGAAGATACCTATTCCCTTGTGCAGAAACCGGTGTGATCTTTAATCAGTTGGGACGGTTGCTCCGCTAATCGGTCCATGAAAGTTGTGTTGAAAAAACAGCTAAAAGGGTAGATTACAGTGAAGTTAAACTGTCCGCATTGGACCATGGAAACCGTTTGTTGTTTAGATTTTTTTGGACCAAGTTACTGCTGTTGTCGAATATATTCCTCCCTCTACTTCTACTATTTAATTAAACACCTGTTGTTGGAGAAGTTAGATTAAAACAGCAGACTCGAGTTGAAAGTGTTCGGAAAAGGTTCCGGCCAGTCGTTTCGAGTGTCCAGCTGTGTCTCGTCGAACCAGTCTGATTCACAATTAAAAACACAATGCAGTATGAGCAGTCATGTTCATCATCCGCCTTTTATTCACTGGATCACAGTCCTGCACCTCGATGGTATCAACGCTTACTGTGTTCTGAAATTTTTAGATCCCCGTTTGTTCTTTGAATAAATAATTTCTTGTATTTCCGGGATCAAACCCTAGGCGCCTAAGTGAAATTTTATTGCATTTAAACCAAGAATGAATTCCCATAAATCATGATCAGGTAACCTTTGAAATGTGTTCGTCCAACGGTAATGGAAACCGGAATACGTGGTTTATTTATGTAGTCCAAGCGCACAGTCAAAAAGGAACTTCCTCATCTTTTGCATGCTTGTTCTGACCGGTGCGCTTCAAGGACAACCATCCCCTAATGCAAAATGAATGTCAGATAAAGGAAAATGATTTCTTCATTTGTTTCACGAGGATTCTCATTTACTGATTTGTGAATATTAATGTCGAGGGAGTAGAGCTCATTTGTCAATACCAAACTGAGAGAAGTCAGTAAATCGTAACGGTTGTATACTCACCAGACTGAAGTATATAGCTTAAACGTTTGCAAATTTAAATAAAGCTCCAATCAGCAGCAGTTTGTGATTTTGGAGCGTGCAATAATCCAATAATTCTTTGTTCACTTGTTATTTATTTATTTATTACAAGTCCACATCCAATTTCCTTTGTTAGTCATTCATTTGCAGGTATTTTGGTATTTTTTAACATGTTCTGTCCATTTTAATTGCTGCTCCTCTTCAAATACATTAGGGCGTATGACTACGTCCATGATCGATACGCACTCTGGTCGCAAACCGCACTCGCCCGAACACTACAACGGCCAACTGGATGAGCTTCGTCAGACCGGTGACCTCGAATCCGTCCGTGCGCATCTGGGCGTGAGCGAACGACGACGACAAGAACTGGAACATCGATTATTGGAAATTACTGAGGAACTCTCACGCGCACGTGCCGAGGCTCGCTCCGCTGACACGAGCTTAGCCGCTGCACGTCGTACAGAAGCCGCGCTAAGGCGGCGATTACTTGTCGCCATGGATATGCAAGGTTCATGCACGGATCCCAGTTCGGTCCGGCACTCTTACAGTGGAACACTTAGTGCAGGCACGGAGGCACGGGATGCACTTGAGTTACAGGCAGCAGTGAGTGCTTTTACTGGAAAAATTAAATCGTATTCCTTCTACCTCTGTCCATGTTGATGGCTTGAATGAACAGTTATGCCTGCCAGTGCCCTCGATAATTTTTTATTTATATTTATATTTCACACTTGTCTGAGGATAGACTGTATGCCAGGCAAATCATGGTACCAAACTCTTTATAAAAGGGTAAAACGTTTCGTGATTGGCTTGTGGGCTGAATACTACCAGGTTGCCCTCNNNNCTCGATAAATGTTCCATTGAGTAATAAAATGACATTTTTACTGTACCATTGAGATCCTCTTTTGTTTCATCTGTTTATAACCATTTTTTCCTTGAGTATTTTTGATTTGCCTGTCACTGTGACAATCAGTCTGCTTGTGAACTTGGGCTATCTTTTTTCTTTAGATTCAGATATTGATTCCCTAGGCTTTATACCATGCACTCAGTGTGGTAATCACTCACGTTTTTTTTCTGGATTTTCACATTTATACAAAAACATTGATATTTCAATATATTTTATGTGACTGTCAACATTTCTGTTCGGTTTTGAAAGCGTAAAATACTTTGAACACAGCAAATCTTTATTCCCACATCGTCTATCTACTACTTTTGGTTGTACCTCTTTGGATTCAGCAGCTGCGGTCCACTGCGTATTATCAGCAAGTATGTAAGAGTACACAGTTTTAATGGTAACCTTCCTATACATCTCTCATTACTCCATTGTGTTTTATTTTAAATTAAGTATTTGAAACTTGTGCATCACGCAACGCGCCTATATTTCACAGAACAAATGCTAACTCATCTCGAAGCTGTTTTCTTTTTATTTGAAAATACGTGTCCTAAGTACCAGATGCGGCACCAATTTTGATAATCAAAGAGCGTTCATATTATCATTTGCAATTTACGAGTTTGTTTCTAGAATGTTCTACGTGTTATTTATTCAAGTCTCAACAAAGACTGAAAGCCTTTTGTTTCTAGTCTATTAGCGTATATAGAAGCGCTGTTTCTTTCTTTCGTTTTCACATAAAATTTCAAGTGAAACAGACGAAGTTACCATTTTGGTAATGTTGAAATAATGATAGGGTTTCCGGGAATCGATACCCCCCTCCCTTATCGGATGATGCATTCACCTGATGCAAATTGGTATCTCTGATATTGTAGGATAAACTGTCCAACACGCCATCAAGCCATTGTACACATCGCAACGGTCAAGTCCGGAAATCAGTTACAATCAATATTGTGTGAATTTGTTGGGCGGGGTAAATGAACACCTCCCGGGTACCCACCGATTCGAGACAGTTGCAATGGAAGTGTTCCAACCATGGATCTTTAGACTGTCATCCCTATAACAAGTGAAGAGAATTGGTTGGTTCAAGAAATATTCAACTAGTTGATCAATCAATCAATTCACTTCAACCGCCCACTCTAAAACGTTCATCAATGCAACTTCGACGAAGTTGCACTGGCTACGAAGTTCCGGTGAACAACAATACTTCCAGCTCGGGGGGAACACACACCGACACAACCCAAGCACGCTACCCACTTGATTTGTTGAGCAGTTGACTGGACAATTTTCCCGTTGTTGTTGTCTTTTTTGTCCATGCACAATATAACACAGCTCATCTTTGCTCATACTACTGTTGAAACCCAACCAGGTCGGAACAGCACCACTTCCTGGTTTTCCAGTTCGCTCCCCACGCGACTCTACCTTGGTTTTGATGAGCGGATAAGCAGCAATAGCAACTTTAAAGATGTCTTATTGTTTATCCTGTGCGATTTCACAGACACAGCCTCTGTATGTATCTTTGTTCTTCTTTGGCATCACTCCTTGTGGAGTCCATTTACTCCCCACGTTTCTGGTTCATTGAAGGAATAGAAACCCATATACCCATGTTCAAAACCAGTGTCCAAGTGTTAGCTGTCAGAAGTGCACCTCAGTGTCATCTCTCAAACCGAATGGGATCGCGTTTCGATTCCCGGCGGGGCACAAAATACTACGCATTGTTGATAAATCAAACACACAAAACAAAACAGTTATCCACCAAGTGCGTTTTGTTGGTCTTCAGCAACCATTTTTTTAAGGCAGCAATCGTGCTTGCTACAAATGTTTAAAACACGAATTTCTAATGCCCTATTTTGCAAATAATGTGCTTGACGATGTTTTTCCAATCAGCACATTTGTGCCAAGTTGACACGTTATACTCATGTGAAAGTAGCATTGCGGTTAGAATACACTCTAGCATCCATAGGCAAACCCGAAGTGCTTCTCATCCTTGGCAATAATCTAATGCGATTGTCATGTCCCCAAACTTTTTCAGCTCATTAAAGCAGAGGCCACGAACGCAGCACTGACAGAAGCCGCACAGCTAGACCGAAGTCGTCTACACGAACAGGCTATGCGTATCGGGCAGTTTGAGGCCGAACACAGAGCCCTACTAGACCGTATATCGATCTTGCAAACAACTGAAGCCAATGCGCAACGTGGAATAGTTCGCTTACAGGTGAGTCTTTTTTTGTTGCCACTCAATGAACCACTTGTAAACCGGAACGCTTTTAATTGGAACCATTGTTTGCTGCTTTCATCTGGAAACAAATTATGTCCTCTGTAATCATGTCTCTAGTGCTCTGTTTACTCTTCACACACCCTCTCGATTTTTTGTATGTTGATATAGATCGAGTTTTCGAGTCTAAAATCAGGGGCATATGTATGTACCTGTGTGTGTGGCGTAGTGGTTTAGTCGCTGTTACCGGCGTGCTTGTTGGACCCTGTGGTCCGAGGTTCGAGCCCCACCACTGCCGCCCAACTTTGGTGGTAGGAAGCTTTGCTGTCGCCCGGTTCAATACCACGCCTGATCTATCGGGGCCTTATGTGGTTCGCCACTCCAAATCCCGGGACTTAGGATGCCGGTCTCCGCCACTGAACAGTAGGTTCTCGTGAATATGGGGTTTACTCCGTCTGTTGTGCATCACACTTATGTGTTTAATAGAAAAAAGATATATGAATTGCTACCACTTCTGCTTTGACCAATAAACCTGTCCTTTGTAGGATGCCTTAATCAAGTTGATAATGTGACTTATCTCTGACTTGCTTTCGTCCACAGGAATGAGTGGAAGACTATAAACAAGTGCATTGAAAATGTTTGGTATCTTTTTTTGTCTCAAAAAGGTGGACAAACCACTTGACATTTCTACGTAATCGCACTCAGGAATCTGGGACTTGAGTTCTCTTCTTTCCCTACTCTGTTTTCTATCTATTTACCACCGGCTTGAAAACAAGCATGGTGCCAACGCAACAACAATGACAGTGAAGGGGATAGGTGGCTTAGGATACAGAACATGATGAAAAGTGGGTAAGACAGTTAAACATGGAAAATACAAGATAACAGAATTTTTTGTGTGTTTCACCGTACACCTTTAGCAAATTTTTTTGTTTGATGTTTCGTTTTTCTTAATGGGCACGGGATTTCGATAGACAGATCGTACAGCATTCGCGCCACTGACTTCTATTCTGCGCCATATCTCTCAGCGTCT